TTTTTTTTTTTTTTTTTTTTTTTTTGGGAATAAAAATGGGAATAGAATGGTGCTATAAAAAGGCAGGAAGTGGGTGGTGGGAGGCGGAATTTACGAAAGTGGGTGAGTTTTTAAATTATTTATTTAATTTAATATTTAATTAATTAATTAGTTAATAAAATTAATTGTTTTGTTTGTAAAATTACAGTTTTTGGGGAGTTGTAAAAAAATATCTAAAGGAAGATAGTGTTATTGGCATGAAAGATGGTGCAACAAGCCAACAACTGCCCTGAAAAGCTGAGCTATTGTTGATTTGGGATTTGACCACTTTGATATTGGACACTACATTTTTAGATATGGTGTGGGCCTTGTGTCATTTGTTCATTTGGTGGTTGCTCACCTCGAATGTGTGCATATTGTTATGCTTGGAGTTACCAATGGAGGAAAAAAGTTAGACCGATATGATAATTCGATCTGAACTAAACTCAGTAAATAGGAAAAGAAATGTGTTTGTGTTTAGAATGGTATAAATTTAAGGTTTTTTGTTGATAAGAAATAAAGATAATGCCATAGCTTGATCCAAATTTAATTGGAAGAGTAGTGTATCTACTATCTAGCTATGTTGAGATTTTAGCCATTTGAAATTGGATAAGATGGATACAATTCTAATTTTCATATTAAACTTATGTTACATTATTAATGATATTGATAAGATAAGATAAGACTCATAAGAGATATGATTCTCTAACAAAATAATGGATATGATGTTGACTGTAATAACAGGCGTAAACCGTTAACAAAAGAAAAGAGAAAACCTTTTAGTATTAAGGTTTGTATGTCCATACTTGGAAGAATATTTGTAGTTATATTAAAAGTAACATAAATAAAGTATTTTTACAAAAAAATATAAGATTTATATCAATATATTATATTTCATCCATGGAAAAATGACTGTATTACATGACATTTCTCTCTCAATTATCGAACTCATTTTAAATGAAAAATTGAAAGCTTGGCCACGAGCCCAATATAATTTCATTTAACATTTCAATGTATGTGCAAATATGATAAAGTTTCATGAATGCATCTCTTTAAAATATCTACACAATCAATTAGACCTTCAACATTTTGTAGTAACATTTTTCTTACTCGATTAAGGGTTAAAAAATCCATTTGGATTCTTCAATTAGAAGTTAAAAATATTTAATTACATACTTTAATAAGGTAATTTTAGTCACATAGTAAGTATAAAAAAAAAGTAAAATGTGTTAATTATTCAACAAAGGGGGAGTATTTTCTTTTTATTATTGGAATTGCATATTTAGACATTTTAAACAAAATCCTACTCCGTACTAGTAAGATTGAATGGTCAAATCTTGCTAAGTTTGACTTGCAAAATTTCAAGTACAATAACCAATTAATATGTCAAATTGAGCCATATTAAATTTTTGGGAAAAAAAAAGGTCATGATAGTTTTTTTTTTTTTTTTTTTTTTTTTGAGGGCAAGCAAAAAATTAAAAAAGGCGATGATAGTTGAATATGAGGTTTGATGTTTTTAGTTTTTATACCTCTCAAAAAAAAAAAAAAAAAGAGAAGTGTTTTTCCATAGTCTTTCACCTCAGCTAATTGAGGCTTTCACATGGAGGTATACCAATTTGTTATGTTTTTGAGCTAGAATATGATACTCTATACGATAATACTTCCTTCGTTTCTGAAAGTTTGACTCGATTTACAATTGTGCAGTTTCCAATGAACATCTTTGACCATGAATAAATCGGTTTGTATATAATTGAAAATTATAAAAAGTTGATATTTAGATTATTTATAATTAGGGAAATCTAATAAGACCTCACAAGCTAATTCATTTATATTGTATAGCTTATAAAATGTGGTCCACATGAATAGTAAGTGAGTCGAACTTTCAGAGTTAATATTTTTATGGTAGTACGCAAATAAAAGTAGGGGGTATTCATTTTATTCGATAAAAACCAAAAACAAACAGAATTCAAACTGAATTGTTAATTCGGATTGGATTGAAATTTTTTAAAATTCAGATTTCAGAGTGGATCGGATTAATCATGTTCGGAACTGAAAAATCAAAATAACTGAAATATTAAGGGTGAACTGTTTGTAATTGATGACTTGATGTTGAATTGAACTATCAATGTTTTTTTTTAAACCAACAATGTTTATCATGTAAAATTATGTAATTAAGAAATGTATTGATTTAATGGGTTTGAACTAATTTTATTTTGTAATTGCATTTATATTAATATAATCGTGATATATTTGCCTTAAAAATTGCAATGCATTTTAATTCCATTGGTTTCTGAATCGAATCCAAATAATTGAATTTTAATTGTGATTGGATCATATTTTATTGTTGAAAAATTTGGATCAAACTAGTTTGCAAATTAAAAAAAAAAAACCAAAATTTAATTCAAATTAAATTTAGCCTAATTTCAAACTGAAAATCGAATGGACACCCCACAAGGTCAGAAATGACAAATGCTGTGAATCTTATGATATCACACAAATCTCCATCAACAAATCAATTTGTTGTGAAAACCTAAAATCATAACCCCAAATTCTCGCAAGCTAAGAAAGATAAAACCTAAAATATGGGTTGATTGATTTTACCAAATTTTATTTTTATTTTTACTTTATTATATTTATTTATTTATTTATTATTACTTTTTTTTACCCGTTGATGAATGTTAGTTGAGCTTGATTGATTTTATTTTATTATGGACATTGGTAAATACAATACTTGTTAGTTGTGATTTGACTATGTGGAGTATTGCTCCAATTGTGAAAGGGTTGTTGCCTTGTTGGTTGTGTTTGGTTGATTAAGGAAAATTGAGCATTATGGAGGTTTTAGGTAGAATCTTTATGGTGCATGATGAATTCAAATAAGGTGCTCCAAATATTGTTGGTACTATACTATAATTGTCTCAAACATAATATTGTTAGTACAAAGAAAAACTATAACAACTTTGGTACTTAATGTATTGATTGATTCCAAGTTAGATTGATTCTTAATAATGGAACACTCTATACTCACTAGCTTAGTAATTTGTCTTAATAACAAGATACTTTATACTCGCTAGCTTAGTAATTTAGTATGAGATGACCTCATGTTGAGGGGCGGAGCCAAGGGGGGTTGGCGGGGGCCTTGGCCTCCCCCTTGGCTCAAGATATTAATTAAATTTGCTCTTCATTGTCATATTAACCTATCATAATATAATATATATATATATATATATTTCTCATTATGAGGGTGATTTATTTATATACTCCGTATTTATTATTTGGGCAAGCCTATTTATATCTTACAATTAATTTGTGTGAGACATGAGACAATGGCATGCACAATGCATTGTCAATGGCTCAAAGGCATCCAATATTCGTACTTGTTTTTGCAATTTAATTTTTTTTTTAATTTAATTTATTAAAAATTTGGGTGAGAGAGCAAATAAAGGTTACACTCCAAGAAGTTGTTTTCTTTCCGTTGACCTCTTGCGTCAATTATGAGTTTTATACATAGGCAACTAGCGCCGTATAATTTGAATTTTTGCTAAGCAATACGGAGTAATTTTTTTTTTTTTTGAAAGAATTGCTAAGCAATAATTAGATTTTCATAATATAATACTAACACTATAAATAATTATTTTAATTAAGAGCTACGTACTACTCGTACATATTATTGTATAATTGCACTATTTGAGTATCTGGCTTACCAAAATATAAATTTAACTTTAAATTATATGTTAATGTAGTAAGTGTGTAGCGGAAGCAAATTAAAAATATAGAAACTGAAATATTAATAGAAAGATAAATGAAAAGAGTGATTTAACGTGAAAAATCGGTAAAAATCCACGGACAATGAATGCCAACGAAATCTATTACTTCGTATAAGAAAATATAGGAGAGTACAAGTACCCTAAAATATTAGGGATTAGTATTACAAATACTAACTCTCACTATAACTCAAAAAGGAGAAATACAAAGCGACAATGGATTAGGGAGATTGTGAGCAGGAGTGATCTCAGATCATGAATTCCTAAAGAGCCAAAATTCTCCTAAAATGGAGCCAATATGTAATAATTTCCAAAGTGGAGTTGGCATAACCTCTATACGCCAAAGGAGGGACACTCGTAGAGTGTATAAGGGGATCGGAGCCTTGAAGGATGTATGTGGATTATTACTTGCTCTAACGCTCAACATGTCATATTTATAGGCGACAGATGAATTAAGTGGAAAAATCTGCACACATGCTCTTTTGATTAACCACACGTGTATCTAAAAGCTTTACGAACACCCATTGTTTCTAGAGTTTTTCGTCAAGTTCTTAATATGGTTTAATTTTCTATAAAGTATGAGACAAAATTGTTCGGCTTATGAAATTTGGACTACACTAAACCTAACATTTTATCTTATATTAAAATCACAAAAATACGATACATAATAAAGAAGAAATGTCTAAATAGTGTATACATCTAGATAGTTAATAGTTCAAAAAATTAAAAACGGAGAAAATAATATAAAATATAGTAATAGTCAACGTAGGTAGCTTTCATAATTCATAACATAAGAGGAAAATGGGCAATGCATCATAGTAAGATAAAAAGGAAAAAGAGAGGAATTGAATGGGATGATAACACATCCAACTTGTGGTTAGAAGAACAATAATTGGAGCATTGGATAAGAGCAACAACTTGGATAATGCAAGAAAATGATGTCTTTAATTTAGCACGTAACAACAATAATAATGGGACATAATTGTTGATGTGTCATGTGTATGTGTACTAGATAACTAATGTTTTATAATTTAACCATAATTTATTATAAAAAAAATATCTAGCTAGTCTTATAATATATGGTTGATTTAAATAATAATGTTCAATGTATATAATTATTTGGTAGGTTGTCATTGTCAAATGAACATAAAAACATAAAGTAATCTTAAGCATCATATTTTATGGCTCACTCATAATAGAAATTATACTCATTTATTACTTGGATGGAATCTACAACATTTTATAACTCTTTTTATGTTGTCTCTCCTCTTAGGATGGATGAGCAAAAAAGGATGGGCATGCCATTGCCCATCAAAACAAGGAGGAACTTCATCCACTAGTAGAGAAGGTATGTCGCATGTATTATATTGTTTGTAATTTGCACGTCCGTATCTGTTATTCTACCCGTATCAAAGACGTTCTATTTATTTATTTATTTCTTCTTCTTCTTCTCATTATGGGGTGCAAAAAATTATCAAGCAAAAGTTTGGTGGAATTGGTGGGGACTTATTTTGTGATTTCGAGGTTACGAGATCAAGACCCACTAACTACAAAAATGCTTGGAGGTAGGGAAACAAATGAAGTATATTTAATTTTTACTCACGGTTGTATTTCTTCTTTAAAGGTACTCCGTAGAATTGAAAAAATGACTCTATAATTTTTTAATTGATATTTGATACTAAACTCGCTTAGAAAAAAAATGCTAGTATAATATTTGGTTTATTGAATATTTGCTTCAAAACGTTACACTCTTTTTTCTATATGTCCAAATAAAACACTTGAAACGGTTACTGATTTACCATCTATAAATAAATATTACCAAAGGAACAACCGCTGACATCATTTTTTTTTTCAAATTGTACATGTGTCAGCTTCACCTTTATGTTTTTCCCGTCTCAATTTTTTTGTTCCTTTCATATATATTTTAGGGTATTTTAATGTAGTACAATAAACTTTTTAATTTTCAGAGAAGGACTTAGACCTACCGGTAACCGGCTTCGCGGGCCCATTTTGGTCCACACATGGCTAAGCTCCTGGTGCGGTGGCGTATCGTCAACTAACGAACTAGGTATGAAGTAGCTCATTACCTTTTCTTTTATGAACCTTTTAAAAATTTTAAGAAAAACAAATATATGTGATTATCCCATCTAATTACAAAGTTCGCTAATTTTCAATGTAGACGTGAAATTTCTTTGGTTTATAATATTTTAATTTTTGTAGTTTGGTTTATGTTAATAATAGCATATGTAATACAAGGATTTTATTTTAACTGATATGTGTTTGAAATTTAATTACACAATTATAAATTCTTTTATTATATCATCCCTGCACTTAAGCCTTGGTTCTTTTTTTTTTAAAAAAATTCTAATATTGTTTAATGTTACATTATACCCTCTTAATTTTTAAGTAAATGCATCACTTTTCTTTTATGGGTGTTTTTTTATTTTAAAATGCACCATTTCTATATTTAGTAACTTTATAGTTTATACTATATTTTATCATTTCTCTATTTTACTATGCTACTTAAACTATTTTACTACCCCGTATCATTTTTCTCTCTTTCAAAGTCCTCTCTTAAATAATAAAAAATATTTACACTCACATACTTTCTCTTTCATGGTCCCATCTTATTTTTATTATAAGTAATAATTATTCACCTACTCACAATATTTTTATTATTACTCTCCTAAAACTCTACGCATTGCAAGTGATGCATTTAAAAGAAACGAAAGAGTATGAACTTATATGAAATTATTCCTATTTTATTGTTTGAACTTATAATATTTGAATTTTTTTACAATTATTATACTTTATTTGGATTTTGTCTGATTTTAAATTTTTTTATTTTATAACATTAAGTCAAAAAAAGATAACCAACCATCTGTTAATACTCCCTCCGTCCCTTAATACATGAGATGTTAGACTTTTTTTTTTTTTTTACTAGTCATGCATTAGGTTTTACCATATTTTTTTTTACTAACATAATATATAAAAATATATTTTATAATAAAATATATTGTTAGATAGGTTTTAATATAAAGTTTCATCATATAATTTTGTAAAATAATTTTCATTAATATTTAATTATATAAAAATAAAGTCAAACTAATGCATTAACATATGTGCAATGTTTGACTGTGTCATGTATTATGGGACAGAGGGAGTACGTGACTACGTATTAAGGCCCCGTTCTTTAGAGCTGCTCTGCTCCGCTCTGCTCAAATCAAATCTGCTCTGCTCTGCTCTACTCTGCACTGCTCTGCTCTGCTCTATTTTCAAATAATAATTAATAATAACAATAATAATAATAATTAATATCGTATTGATGATAATAATTTATTATTTTGAATAATTATAATAATTATTAATATTAAAAATAATTTTAATAATTATTAATATTAATAATAATTAATATTTATTAATCATAATAATAATTAATAATAATAGTTATCATTATTAATATTTAATAATTCAAACTATTAAGAATTAATATTTAATAATATTATTAATTAATAATTTCTAATAATTATAACAATTCTTTCAAAAAATAAATAATAATAACAATTAATAACAATTTCTTTTATAAACATTTGATATTAGAATCACAATGTGTAGAAACATTATATGTATGTGGGTATTGATTGTTAGTTCATTGAGTTTTTCAAATCTTTCCATACAATTTAAGAATTAAAAAAAAAGAGATTGTTTTCAAGTAGTATTTGGTATATTATTATTATTTTTAGGATTTTTTTTGTAAATATAACACCACATATTTTGAAAAAAATGGATTATAACACCACCTTTTTTCAAATTTTGATTATAACACCACATAAAAACCCAAAAATTGGATTTCACCACCATCTAACGGTATTTTTGGATGGAATCCGTTAGAAGGACCCACTAAGCACACGTGTCATTCATTGATTGGTTTTTAAAAAATTAAAAAAAAACCAATTTTTTTTTTTAAAAAACAAATAACCTAATCCCTAACCCAGCCCCACCACCGGCAACGATGAGCTGCCGCAGGCAGCCTTGAAACCCTAATCCCTAACCCCGCTCCAGCCTGCGACCCCTCTTTTGCCCAGTCGTCGGCACACCCTACCCCTACCATAACCGGCGAAACCAGCCCCCCTCCCCGATAACCACCCCAGTTCCGCCTAGCTTCATAGATCCACCAGCCCCAACCACGAAATTCGCACCAAGCAACCCCCGCAACCACCTCCACCACTACACACAAGTACACAACCAATTCACACCCCTCCAAATCACCGAAAAAACGATTCACACCGATCTAGTGCATTGTGGTTGGTATATGCGGTGGTTCGAAGGGGTTGAGGTTCGAAATTTGGTTGAGATTTGCTGTGGTTAGCATCGATAGCAACCTCGATTCTGGGGAAAGGGGTGGTTTTCGAGGAGGGGGAAGAGGGGTAGGGATAGTTGGGCTGGTTTTGCCGGTTTTGGCGAGTGAAGGGGGTGTCGACGACTGGGCAGTTGGTGCCGGTGGTGGAGCTTGGCTGGGCTAAGGTTTTGCTTTTTTTTTTTTTTAATTTTCTTTTCTTTTTTTTTGAAAAATTTCTAAACCACTAAATTTATGACACACGTCTATTGTGGCCCCACTAACAGGTTCTATCCAAGAATCCGTTAAGTGGTGGTGGAATCCAATTTTTGGGTTTTTATGTGGTGTTATAATCAAAATTTGAAAAAAGGTGGTGTTATAATCCATTTTTTTCAAAATATGTGGTGTTATTTTTTTAAAAAAATCCTTATTTTTAGGGTAAAAAAAAAATATGATTAAGACAAATTTATAAGTAAAATCATTATTACTCATTAAATCATTTTATTTTAAATTTTTTGTGAAATAAATATATGTAAACCGTTGTCTTTTATCTTTCGACTATTAACATATGTGAAATATGGTACACATATATTTATGTTTTCACTCACCTAAATCGTATATGCACTTAATAATAATAATAATAATAATAATAATAATAATAATAATAATAATAATAATAATAATAACAACAACATTAATATTATTATTATATCTCAAAAACAAAAGTCATACAACCTACAATAAATTAGTGGGAAGTCGAGATATAATCTGGGCCCCCACTCCTCTAGCAAATAATAATAACATTAATAATAGTATTAATAATAGTAACATTAATAATATTTTATATCTCACAAATAATACCCCAAAGTTGCGAGTAATTTAGACCGGAGGTAGTCGTATTAATAATAATGTTGAAATCTGCTCTGCTGAAATTTAATCTGCTCTACCCTGCTGACCCCTGCTCTGCCCAGAAGCTCAAAAGAACATGGCCTAAATAGTAAATACTTACTCTGTTTTCTTTTACTCGCAACATAATCGGTATTGCCTGACCCAAAAACTATTTGATGTTCTAAAATATCAGGGTTTAAGCTCTTTAAAGTCCAAATAAGAAAAATGGGCTCATAAAAGGTCCAACCTTGAAACTCTAATTTACATTCAAACGACTCAAAACCAACAAACCCAGCTACATTCCCCTCCTCCCTTTCTCGGCTCCGGCGACTATCAGGTCTCTTTTTCTCTGCATTTTATACCATTAATCACCTGAATTTAATTTGATTTCATAATTATTCTTTGGGTAATTTTTTTTGTATTTGATTTCTTCAATTTTTGTTGCTAAAAAAGATCTGAACTTTATTGCTTTAATATAGAATCAGCTAGTGAAACTTGTATGTATGTATGTATGTTTAATGTGTTGTTGGTTTGATTTTAATTTGTTCTTTAATTGGAGTATTTAATGTTTGATGATCACTGTTTTTAGTTTGATAACTGTTTGTGAATTTCGACTTCTTGATGTAATGTTGTAGTTTGTTTTGAGGGTATTTTGTCCTGTAAAGGGTTGTCCTGTAAAGGGCATAATCTAGAGCCTACTAGACTCCGACTAATCTAAATAAGAGCGAGTCAAGCTCCGATAGGGGATGACAGCTCTCCTAGCAAATGCTGCTGTGCTCCCTTGTTGTTGGCTGTTTTAATGTAGTTGTCAAATTCTATTCCTGCAAAATGTTGAATTTATAGGCATTTTTTGAAAATAATTGTAATTTGATGCCAAGTTATGTGCTTAAATTTTGTCCTAGCTTGATATATTTAATATGAAGAATTGGTTGCGCAGATTACTTTACTTTAAGTGGATCATGTAATTGTTGATATCGAGTTTTGCAAATGAACAGCTAGATTAGTCATTTTTAGTGAGTTCATTAGGAGTGGAATATAAAGATTAAAGAATAATCTATGAATTAGCTTTCTGCTTGTGTGTTTAGGTATTCGTAATTGCTAGATTAGATAGGTTTAAGAGAATAGCTTTATAATAGCGCAATTTCAATAACATGGCTATGTATTTGCAGGGGCGATTTGGTTGTTTGAAACTTTAATTAAACTGAAATGGCAGCTGCTGTTGCATCACCGCCTTTGGAACTATTAGGTGTGTATCTTGTTGTTTATGCTTATAGATGTGTTTAGTGCTGAATTTAAAAGGGGATTAGGCACTGAAATTTGCTGTTGTTCTTCCTTTTAGTTCGAGACCTAGAAGGATTTTCTATTTGGACTGGTCCGCCATTCGACAATGGTCAACCAAAAGTCAAGATACCTAAAGTTCCTTGTAGCAGTGCAACATTTTCTGAGGATGGCTCTAGATTAATGGTGATTAAACCCGAGGGTGTCATAAGTATTTTTGATTGCAAGACCTACAAAGAGATCAGATCCATTCAAGTTCCAAACTTCGCTGCTGCAAACATATCACCTCGTGGGACTTACCTTCAGACATTTCAGAAACAGGCGTCGCCTCAGGAGAAAAATGTGACATTATGGAGTGTAGAGACTGGTGCTTGTGTGTATAACTTTTCTCAAAAGAATATGAGTAAAACAAGCTGGTATTTATGTTAGACTTGAAATTACTTCAGTTTATATTAGCAAGTTCTGTTCTCTTGATTGTTTGAATTTATTTGTCATTCTTGTGTGCAAAATTATTGTCCCCTTTCCTTTCACATGTTCTACTGGAAGCTAGAAGTCTGTTGGCTGTTTACTTATACAAATACATAGGTTATGTAGGTAGCCGAAATGGTTTTTCCTTTTTTAATTTGGCTTGATTTATCATGTTGGATGATGGTCTCTGTTTTTCTTATTCCCTCCCCATTAATAGCCTTTTGTCTTTTTCTCGCATTTTCGAACGTGTTTCTGGAACTAGTCTAATGGATCTTGTGATTCTGCTAATTACACAAGGAAGTATGTCTTAGAATTTTGTCCTTTCTTAGAATTTTGTGTCACCGAGTCACAAAATTTAAGTATACTGATTTATTTTAGCCTGTATATAATGGCTAAAGTGATAGTTTGTAACGAATCAGGCCAACACACCACCTGTTCTTCACACTTGCAGCAGGAAGCAGAAAAAGAAGGGGTAGGCTAACACACCACCACAAGGGAAAGCACTACCTTAAAGCTGCAGTAGTTGTTATGTTGGCTTATTAGCTACCATGTTGGCTTTTAGGGATGAAGACAAGAATTAGTAAATGCAGCAATTAAAGTAGTACTTGCTTAGCAAGTAGTATAAATAGGTAGAGAGTAGTAGAAGGAAGATAGGCAGAAATTTGTATTGGGGAAACCTTAGTGAGTTATGGCTTAAAGCCATTGTTAGAGAGTTATAGCCTCAAGCTATTTTGAGAGTAATAGCCTAAAGCTATTAAACCTATCATTTGTAAAGTGTAACCCCTTTGCGCCATTGTCTATCAAGATTCAAGCTTCTTTTATTATTTCTTCTTATTTAATCAATTTACAAAAATCAGATAATCTAGTTATTACATAGTTATGTTGAAAGTCCTTTTCTAAGTTCTGTAGGTGAAACATATGTCCTCTCAATGAAATGTTTGTGTACTGTCCAGGCCTTCAATTCGATTCAGCTCTGATGAGGCTGTTGCATGCCGGCTCGTCACAAATGAAATACAGTTTTTTGATTCTGCTGATTTATCAAAAGGATTCGTGTCTCGCCTCAGAGTTCCAGGAGTAGCAGCATTTCAACTTTCCAAGATGCCTGGTTCACACGTTGCTACGTTTGTTCCTGAATCCAAGGTTGGTCTATATTTGAGCTGGGAACTTACCTAATCTAAACGTGAAGATACATGGCCAAGTCAGATCCTTTTCTGTGTGAAACTTCAGGATGTCTGTGCTTGGTATATTACATACTACGTATATAATTTCTTTATTTCTGACCTATAGCCTATTGTCTGCTGCATGCTTGGTCCCATATAGATATCGAACAAACTTCTGAATTTGAAGCAAGCTATCATGTACCTTTTTTGTTGCTTACTGGTCACTATCTTTGAACTGATAAGATGTATTTGTTAGATTGCTGCACAGAATCAATGGAATTGTAGAAAGGGGCCTTTAGTGTTAGTACCATCACTTTGATACATAGCCCTATGAACAAAGACAAAGTTTTAAATGTGCAAAGGCAATTGAAGAAGGCCCATGATTTTAATAAGTTGAGAATTTTTTACCCCTGCAAGATTGCCTTGTTGTTTAAATGAGTTTCTTCTCCTATTTTTGATGTCCTTTTTAGGGAGTTCCTGCAAATGTCCAGATATTTGCATGTGGAAATGACCCCTCTAGCCAGCCTCTTGCACGACGCAGCTTCTTTCGTTGTTCAACTGTGCAATTACATTGGAATTATGGCTCTACTGGTCTTCTAGCTGTGGCTCAGGCAGATGTTGATAAAACCAACCAGAGTTACTATGGAGAATCAAAATTAAGTTACTTGACAACTGATGGAGCTCATGAAGGACTTGTACCTCTTCGTACGTGACCTTGATGTTTATGGTTAATATGATTCAACTTTGCTTACAAAATTAATCAGTTCAGTGCATAAACAGGTAAGGAGGGACCCATTCATGATGTTCAGTGGTCCTACACTGGTACAGAGTTTGCTGTTGTCTATGGATGTATCCTTTCATTGGAGCTAAGAATGATTTACTCACACGATGTCCATGAAAAGATGGCTCGTACACTGGTGTATGATTAATAGTTTCTAGATGTAGAGGAGTTGTTTCTTTGAACCAGCTGTAGAGCTGATACACCTTACTCTTAAATGAGATTATTGTTTTTTATTCTCTTTGGAATCCTTTTAATGTATTGCTGTTCCTTGACCTAACTCTAGTTATGCCTGCTAAAGCTACAGTATTCGACAAGAAGTGCAATCCACTTCTTGAACTTGGCTCAGGTCCGTACAACACCATCAAATGGAATCCCAAGGGAAGATGTATCCTTCGTAGAGCTGATACACCGAATTTTTTTTTTCCTGTTCTTAATGAACAACCCCCCACTTCTTCCTTTTTTTTTTCTTTTTTCTTTTTCTTTTTCCTTAAATCCTCTCATTCAGTTTTGTGCTTGGCTGGTTTCGGAAACTTACCTGGTGATATGGTATGTATTTTGTGCTTTTGTAGTTAAACTAACTGTCAGCTTTGGTAAATTTATGTCACTGCTTGTTAGTGGTAATGCTGCATATACCTGAAATATTGGTACAAGAATGGGTGGTTGATGCTGTTCTTGTCATTGTAGCTGTTATTTGGAAAATGCTTGTTCTTGCCTCTCAAATGCCTATCTTTAATGCTTGCTTTGTTAAAATACTTTTTTTCCCCTCTGTTGTCAATACTCATACTTTCGCAAGATTTCTTCTTTTAGGTTTGAATGTTTGGTCATGTTTCACATCCTTTTTCTTGGTAAAAATCAAATGGAGTGTCATACTTTATTTTTTGTCTTTATAAGGGTCTGTAATCTTCCATGTCATTAAATGTGCAGGAGTACCTTAAGAATTAGGATGCACGCATAAAAAAAAAAAAAAAAAAATTTACCAAACCCACATACAAGCCAACCAGTTGTACCTTTTTTAAAATTTAAAACTCCTTATGTTTAATTTATACTTCAAAAAATATTTTTAAATGGATGGAAGATTGGTAACTATTCTGGATTAGTGGATTACAGTTGGTTTTTGTGTATATAAACGGTAATTCTTATGAAAAATAGCTGTAACTTGCCAGTGATTTGTGTACAAGTTATTCTTCCTAGTAAGAAAAGCTGTTTGATAGTCATGCCACATGTTAAACATTATACTCTGCCATCAGCCTGTGATGATAGCGTTTGTGGAGTTTGGTGACTACTGACTATTGGCTAAGATTATAAGGATCTTCCTTTTCTGCATAATTGCATTTGATGCCTAAAGTTATTCTGTGATTCTTCTTAGAATTTGAACTGATATAAATTGCTAGGACTAAATTCCTTAATTGTTCCTAAAACAGGCTTGTTTTTAAGGGCCTCTGTTTTTATTTCCTGCAATTTTGACTGGAGGATGTAGTAAATAGGCCCTAGGAGACTGTATGGTTGTAGATAGGCACAAATGATCTTCAGTTGATTCAAGGTTAATGCTCAAGGATAACAGATCTGGCTTTATGATGTTCTGCTTATACATCTGCAAAATTTTATATTATATAGTTATTGATGGACCTTGAAAACATTTCAGGCTTTCTGGGATTGCACTGAGAAAAAGCAGCTTGGAACAACTAAAGCTGAGTGGTCTGTAGTTAGTGAATGGTCACCTAATGGTTGCTTTTTTATGACTGCTTCAACAGCACCACGACGTCAGATTGATAATGGGTATGCTGATTTTATTCTGGTAACGGAATAGAAATATTCTTAGTGGACTTCTGATTGTAATCTTAAGGGATGCTCTTACGCTACCAATATGTAGCAAGTCACCTTTAAGTTTAGTAGGAGATATCATGATTTGACCTGAGCACTGCTGCTATTTTTTATTCCGTTATCATGAATGATATAGGCAAAGGTTTAATTATCTTGTGTTATGCATGTGCTGTAGTTCTCATCTAGGTTGACTAAGTTTGTGGCACTTCTGCTTCTGTTGCCTGTTCCGGAATGTGGGAAAGGGCAGGTCAGTGGAAGTGGGCGTGAGGCTTGCATATTGGCCACTATTGTTTTTGGATATACTGTAAATTGTCTAATTTATTTGTAAACTTGTCTTTTCTCTGTTTTGGGTAATTGCACCAAGATGAATCATGTTATCACATGAGCATTTGATTGATTTTATTGGCTGATGACAATAATAGATTAATAGGTTCTTGCTATTACGTCCCTTGTTCGAATGCTTCCTTTCCCTTTCTCTCAAAATGCTTTTGACTGTAACAGCTAATGTGATAGGTGCATGTCTCTTCCTTTCTGCTACGATTTCATAGTAAACTAATTGGAGTCTACAGTATGCAGTTTTTATCAGTGATAGTAAACATAGTTTTCCTCTAAATATATGGATGTATGCTTTTACTCCCTGTGCCCACCTTTGTTTGCCCCGTTGGAATTAGGTTGCATTTTTTGTAAGGGTGGAGTTGAAAAGGGACAAAATGGGAGAGTGAAGTGGGGATCTCTCATATATATATTTTTTTAGTGCGGGGCAATCTTGGACATCCTATAGAGAAAAATGAGGAAAACCAAAGGGTATGGAGTGAGTAATAAATTATCGTGGATCACTGCTTGTCAAATTCATGAATCCATTATCTTTGTGAAACAAGTCAAACAACAAGCATACTAATCATGTTATCATTTGGTAGGGGGACTTCTCCGCAAAATACAACTGTCTAGAACTAAAACCTAAACTTGTGTAAATTTGACTCCAAAGAGTCAACTATAGCTATTGCAATAGAACAGTAATTTGAATTGATTGATCAGATTTACTTTTCATTGTTTAGCAAATCATTACTCTTGTTTTTGAGAAGTAGTAATTTAAGTAATTGATCATACATGGTTTGGTATAATGTAGGATAAAGATTTTCCAACACAATGGCTCATTGTATTTCAAGAAGATGTTTGACAAACTATTCCAGGTTAGTGTGACCAATATTTGCTCCTCGTGTATTGTTTTGTGTTCCCCTGTTTAATATTCATTGTAATATCTATCATTCAGGCTGATTGGAAACCAGAATCAGCAGACAGGTTTGGTGATATTTCTGAGCTTGTGAAGTCTGTTGGTTCACTGAAGATTGAAGAAGCCAAAGCACAAGGTTTCTTGATCTCATGTCTGCTGCTTATTCAATACATTAATCTACTTGATATGCTGTTGCGTGAATGATAGATTTTTCTCTGTGTAGGACAAGGGTCAAAACCTTCCCAGAATGCTGCAAAATCGAACCCGGTGAACCCTCCACAGAAACCTGCCGCTTATCTACCTCCTAGTGCTAGGAAGGCGGCTTCTGTTAAGGCAGAGGTAAATTCTAGCTACCTTGGCATTCTACCTAACACTGATATGACCAGTTAATCATCTTTGACATTCAATGCCAGAAATTTAAGTATAACATCCAAAGTTGGTATGGCATTGAGCAGAGTGATAAACTCCACGCTTGCTTTAAAATTCTAAGGGTGTTTTGATCGATACTTGCTTCATATTTTCTAGACTTCTAGGTACCTCATTGGCTCATCTTCATCTCCTATTTTTGGCATGGAGTTGAGTGTTTCCACAACATCTTTTTGGTTATTTGAATGATGATGCTGTGTGGTTCATTGAACAAAATATCCTTTATTTTTTCAAATTGGTGATCTATTGATATCCAATTCCTTTCAAATCTGTATGCTTTTTCTGTTGGTGATGTCATTTTGAATAATTTTGCAGCGGCTTTTTTTTTTATCTTAGCTGATCAATAAAAGATTTTCTTTACTTAGCTATGTAATATGCTAGAGTTTGTTGCAAAGATTATACTGATATTTGAGATGAAAGATATGCATGTGATTTTCTTGATGTTCAATAAATAATCAGTATCATCTCGACTATGACATGAAAGGCACTCGGCAGACTGCAAATATTTTGCATGACATGCGCTTATTGTTTTGATCAGTATGCATTATATATGGGAATGTTATCGAATTCTGGTTTGAAGTGCTTTGAAGTAATTGTAAATCTTCTCATATGAATTTGATAGCCAGCTTGTAACACTTGTTTCTGTTTTTGATGTGGCAGCTTTTTGGAGGATTGGATACCCAGTAAGTGTGCTGAAATAGTATCTTTTGCACAGTAGATTGATTCTTTTACTGTTTCTTTTTCCCTCTTTGGCAAGCTGGCAATTTCATCTAATGTAATTATCATGATTATGCAGGGAAATGAGCAAAAATGCATTGAAAAACAAGAAAAAACGGGAAAAACAGCGAGAAAAGAAAGCAGCTGAGGGCGCATCTGGCAGTAATCCTTGAACCTTATTCGAGCGCTGAGTTAATGTATGACTAAAGCAGGAAATGAAAGCAGCTGACAGTGCATATTCCGGAGATTTTGCATCAAGAGACATCCAAGTTCCGGATGGAGCCAAAATGCAGGCTCTGGATTATATATTACCAGTAGCAGCATAGTTTCTGGCTCTTTTGTCATACAAATGTATTTTTAAGATTAGGCGAAATATCTCACTTAGATCTCTGCTATTGTACTACATGATCATTTTGTCCTTGAAGAAATTTTGCCATGAATGTGAGGCTTAATAGCATTGTCAAATAAGCATATAGCCAAATGTAAGTGTATAACTACCCCATATGATTTTGTTTTACCAAAAGAAAAGAAACCTGTGATTTTGAGTAACAATCCTCTTCCACTCGAGTCTTTTTTTTTGAAAGATCTTCCACTCGAGTCCTTGCTGCACTAAAGATTACGAATTTTGTTCCTGTTTTGTTTCCTCGGTTAATTAATTATTTTATTTTCTGCATGATTGTATTGTGTTTGGGTGATCATGGTTATGGTGGCTGCTGCTGAGGCATTGCCGAATGCAGTTATGGCCGTTTGATCCGTTGTGTAAGGCTATAGCTTCAGCTAGTGGTGGCACCAATTCCACAGCTAATGGTGGCGCCAGTTCCATCCAATAATCCACCTCCCTTTGGCTCAAGTATTTCATATTTGAGTACTGTACATTGTATATAACTCAAGACAATAAGGATCCTAGAGCCTAGTCATGGGTCTCACTGTGTGCCTTCTGGTATGTTCCAGTGTCCCTTTTTGCACCACAGTGGCTCAGTGTGCCTCCCTTGCCCATCTTTGAAAACACCTCGCTGAAATCATTAGATTTCTAACTCAGTACAATTTTTAGTACACTCGGAAGTTTTAACATATAGCAGATTGATGCCTTGGCTGGCGCCACTTGAAAGCATTTTCAGGGTGTGGAAGTTATACTTTTGTGGACGACTACAAGCAATGCGTATCTGTGTATGTGACTGCCAAATTTTGCAAGATAGGATAGGTACATGCCCCCTTTAAGTTCATCATGTTGCATACTGGAGCTCAGCACAAAGGTTGTATATATATAGTGAGATAAAGTGCAGGGTAGAAAGAAAGAGAATGCAATTAGTTTATGACAGCCAATGAAAGCTAGTATGCAAATGAACACTTGAATGTTAAACTCATCTAGGAAATAAGATTAACCTACACAATCGTTATTTTGTTCATCTGACTTTTGTAAGCAAACCAATGGAGCAGGCTATGCAATACAATGTGATCATGATAAACCAAGGTAGCAAGATGAGTACTTGCATATGCTACCTGCGAAGCAATACAGTGTGATCATTAAAAAACCAAGGTTACAAAAGAAGGCGAGAGGCTAGAGCAATGTGGTCATAAAAAAAACCCAAGGATGAATTCTCAATCCTAGTTTGCAAACAGCTAAGGTCCAGTATCATTAACCAAATTTTGAGCTATCTTCAAAAAGAAACTAACACGGGCGTAAAAAGACACTATAAGTTTCATATGATTGCCATCTTATTGCCAGCAGGATCATTAACCACAAAGGTTTTTTGTTGCTTCATAATTTCAGAGCAGTTGTCCAGGTGCCTTGTACACTAGGGTGCTTTGTGACATGTCTTGTCTTCAACTTTATCACCTTCCTTCCCAAGGCATTCCTCAACCTATTTGCATGTAGCAGCACATCTTCTGGTGTCATATTCTTCACACAAACAACTCGTTCATTCTTGTTTCCTATAAAAATAAGACAGAATGAATAGAGCTCAAAAGCTGCAAACATTACCACAAAGGGGGGAGGGGCATATGCGCCTTGGAAAACATTTTACCAAAAAATAGAAATAAATTCATGCATTTAAATGCATGTACACTTGTACAGACTTTAGCAGATGATCTAGAACTGGGAGTGAGATGATAGAAAGGAAGCAAGTAGATCCAAATCCTTTATAATACCATTTAAATCTCTGTATTCCACCCCCCCCCCCCCTCCCTTCTCTGCTCCTCTATATTAATTTCCATTCTAAAGATCCCTTCATCAGTGCATCACTCAGTACTTTAAGCTTTTCAGGAAGGGTGGCAAAGATAAGTGTGCACAGAGTGAGGAAGAGAGAGGAAAAAAAAAAAAAAACTCCGCACAGTTCCAGTGAGTTTGAGCTTGAAATGCCTCAACTAGCATTAAAGCTGCTGCTAAAAATTCCATCGTCCACACGCTACTCAATACTTTCAGGGGGATAATGAGTTTCTCCTCTTAATGAAAAGTAAAGGAGCAAACCAAGAAAGACAGTAGCATGATCATCAAAACATAATCACCAACTCCTATATAATTCATAGGGTGGAATGTGAATAATTGAAGACTGACACCAGAAATACATATCATTCTTAAACCCTAGTTTCATCATAATGCTGCAGAGGCGAATAAACATGGAGGGAAGGCACTCACGATAGAAAGCCTTCAGATGTGGATGCTGTCCACGAATGAGTTCCGTAACAACCTCTATTCGTGGATTGCTCTCCTTAATTGATGGCAAATTTGTTTCCATGAATGCCCTGCCATACAACAAAACTTCTTTCATAAGCTTCCAAGCAAATTATTTTTGCTGCCACATAGAGTTCCAAAAAAAAAAAAAAAAAAAAAAAACCCAGAAGCATCCCACACTTGTTTCAATATCTATTATCCAGAACCTTATAACCTTAATAAGATCATTTTTCTGAATGCACTCCTCTAAACTGATACATACTAAAAGAGATTTTATTTCCACCAACAATGTTGGGTGTGAGGAGAGAGAGAATAAGTTTGAGTAGAAAATGCATTTCTTTTGCTATCATACAATTAAATCATATGGCTTGCTGTTTTCATTCAAAAGTCCCAGCTGCAACCAAGGTTAGTTAAAACAATTCAATTGTAAATCAAATGCCTAGTCTATTGAATGTCACATTGTAGCATATATATATATATCCTATCAGAGACTTTCATATGCATCTGGCAGAGCTAGGAGATGCAACCACTTATTAACATAATTACTAGCTTGGTTACAGCACTAATAATGGCAGAAAATAAGAAGGAAGAAGATGGTTATAGTATTAAGATGAGAATTACAACTAATTAAACGATAATTCCACTTTCGAGAGGTGGATTCTCTCCTAATATGAGCTTTCGTGAGGCTCACTCTCTCCCAATAACAATCCTCAATAAAATTCAATATGATGATTATTCCTCCTAATGAGGTCTATTTATAGAAAATACCCCCTTAGAAACCTCTAGCTTATTCCCCAAGTTACTACTAATAGACTATGACTAATGTGCCCTTCCCCTACATATTGATTCCTTGCAAACAATTGCGAAATTGAGACACAAGCAAAAGGTCCTTGCATTCATATGCCCCAAAAAAGAGAGTAAGCATGATTAAACATATCAAGTGCCCCACAAATGTGCAAATAACTACATTCAAGGTGTTTTTGTCCAGATGCATGTCAACTGCTGTTGGTGTCCAACATGCACATGCCAGGCTGCTCAATGCAGGTGTACAGGTGGATATATTTAGTATTGCACCATTGGACATTATTTTTCAAGAGTAGATTTGCCATTTTATACTTCCTCACTACTTGTTTTGCAAACTTTTTCTCTCAAATTCTAACATCAACAAAGTTTAACTTGAATATAGTATCAAAATGAGGTTGCAATAAGCCATCAAAAGGAAAAAATGATGGCGCTATACACATTACATAGGGTAATACAATCGAACTAGAGTAGAGAAAAACCCACAAATAGAATACCAAGGCAACATATTTGTAAGCCTACCGGAAATCACTTTTGTCCAACATGTAACCATTTACTCACAATAATGTCTCTAAATGAATAATTCTTAGGAAATCAATATAGTTGCCAACTGGAAAATAAGCACAAGAGCAAATAATTCCACCACTAGGACAAATCAATCTGAAGGGACAATATTAGTAGACATCAAAGCCGATAAGTACACTTATAAGCAGAGTCCAAGAACTAAGACATTTATTGTGATCTCAATGTTGCAGAGGAGCACTTTTGCTCGATCAAATTGTTTCCCAAAATCCACTGACGAACAGTTCTTCAAAGTTCAAACATCACTCGTTTATCCACAATTCATTTCTGTACCAAAGTTGAACTACTCAAGAAAATAGCTACAATTCATCACAAAACAATAACCTAAATAAGTTGACATCTAGCCAAAGAAAACTAATATCACATGGACTGCCATTGCAACACCAAGGCATTCCTACACTACAACTGAAAATATATGATTCCTTTATTTTGGGATCATAATGGACAATGACCACACAGGCAAATTATGATCTACCCAGCCCATTTCAAAACGAAGTACCCGTGTTGAACTATAGGACATTTGTTAACAATACATTACTTACGCACTTCTAATGATCCTCTATATAAAGAGCCCTGCACAATCCTCAAATACACACCCTCGCCAAATTCTTTAACCGAGTCCCGGTGACATAGCACCTCAAATTGAATCCTAGGACATATGTATACAGCATGATATATAGGCATTGCCAAATAAACTCCATGGAATAAGCCTAGCACAATCCTCAAATCTACACCCCACCATATTCTTAATCCGAGTCCTCGACTCCTCGTAACACAGCTCTTCAATCCGAATAATATATAGAGAAAAGTCCCCACATCTTTAGTAAGCTAGAAAAACAATATGCTTCCTTTTCGATTTCACAAAAAGTTCAAAATTCTTATCGATTACCATAAAATTTCAAACCAACAAAAAACGATAAAGAACTCAACTTTGCGACTATTGAAGCAAATTACGCAATTAACATATCAAAATATGGCAAACAAAATAGCTGGGAAAATGATCAAACAACACCAAATTTGAGCAAATGCATCAACAATAACACAAATCAATCAGAATTAGCTAAAGGGCGCAAATACAATATTGAAAGAAGAATCATGATTTCTACATTTATTGAAAAACATAAAAGAAAAGAAAAAAAATTGGGAAAAAGAATATTAAAGAAAATAATACCTGATACCCCTGCTGCTGCCTCCCCAATCGCAGTAGCTAACGATGAGTTTCTGAAGCTGCCAAACTCCTCTGAGCGACATTATGCAAAGTTATTTCGATTGAAATTTGTAATTTCTGCAGAAATTTCAAAAGATTTTGAATTGCGATAGCAGGAATTGGGAATTAGGGTTTTAAGTGTTCACAGTAAAACCCCTCACAGAGGCTCACACAGTTCAGTACTCCGTATTGACTTTTGACTTGTTGAGATTTGAGAGGGTAGTTTAACTTCTCTAAAGGCTCAATTTTTATTTACGCGTGTCCCTCCTATCATAGGAGGATTAGGGGTGAGGATCGAACCCTGTCACACGGGAATAACGAGAGAAAACTAGGTTAGGTTTGATGACATTACATACACGTGTTACATATCTCATCTCAATATAAAAATAACTAGATGAAGCCCGTGCGATGCACGGTTTGTTTGAATTTTTAAAAATAATTTTTTTATACATATATTTATGTGCTAAAATTTGTTATATATTTAGATAAAATTCCTAATATGAAAAGATAATATTTTATATTTAATTAATTTAAATTGGAAAATCTCATTCGCCAATTTTGCTTACGTGGCATTTAAATTATTTAATTATAATTTTTTTAATAATCTCCTATTTAATTGGTTACTACTAAAATTTATAATCCTACATGGCACACTATGAAAATTAGGAAAAAACTCCCCTTTATATATATATATATATATATATATATATATATTAGATTATACGATTTGAAACTAATAATTTTATAAGTTTTGCATATACTCTTTGACAATTTTCAAGACTTCCTACGCAAACATAATATGAGATTTAATTTAAAATGAAATCTTTGACTACCACGAATATTTTTATGATATATTCATCTACTCTGTATCTTATTAGTTACTAGTCTTATTGTAATCCTGTAAATAATATTGTCAAATTTTGAATCGAAACCGTTTAACTATCCGAAATCAACAGACCCAAATGAAAACCGAACCTATTATTTGAAACCGAAAAACCGACCTGAACGGTAATCGATCCGAATAATGTTAAACTGTATAAGAACCGAACCCGTTAACCAACAAACCAGTTATAAACCAAGATGAAATAGAACTGAACCAAAAAGTACTAAATTGTTGTTAACCCGAACCATTTCTAACCCGAAACCGTTTTAGGTTAAAAACTGTTTATAAACCACAACTCGTTTGCACTAAACCGTTTACGAACCGGACCGAATTAAAACCGCATAAAAATAAACCGAATTCAAACCGAACTGCTAATAGTTTGAACCAATTTGAAACATACCCATAGGTCACTTAAACCATTTTCAAACCGAATCAAAACCGAACTATTAAACCATTTTGACAACGCTACCATTTTCAACTTACATAAAATATCCAAGTCAAATTACTAAATGTACAACTCAATGGCTCAAATTCATGTAATGTACCAGTACCACCAAAGCATAACAATAATAAGATTTACAAAAGTTGATCCTTTTTCCCACCACTATAACTTTGCATCTAATTCCCTCCCTAAAAGAAAACAAGAACTTAGGAATCCGATTCAAGTTTACCCACAAAAAGCTCCTCTTTTCTCCACATTTTCGAGTTTGTTGTGCAATCAATCACTCCGACGAAGCAGTTGCGCAACCCCAGCAATGGCCAACTCCGCCGTGGACACCGCCGCTTCTGCTCTCTCGAACCCGACAATCACCCATGTCATATTCGATATGGATGGTCTTTTATTAGGTGATAATCAACACTGCATTTTAATTGGTTTTGAATTTTATTGTATTTTGTGATTTGGGTTGATAATTTAATTGTTTATTTGAGTTGATTGCATTGTTTGAGTAAGAATTTTTCTGGGGGTATATGAAATAGAAACAATGATGGAGTATATTACCTTTCTCGGACTTGGGTACGTGTCTAAGTGTCTAACTTGACTATTTTGTGAGTACGGGTACTTGTCTACTTGAGGTAAATTGAAGTGTCCGAGTAACATATTTTCGTTGTTATGTTATGGGTGATGTATGATTTTAAAATGGAAGCAGTGGACATTTCAGGGTTCCTTGAATTTTAATAGAATTAGTGCTTGATTTGTTTGTTTGCAAGTTATTTGATGTTATGATTCAAGGGTTATTGCCCCCTTTGATCAGTTTTTTATTGGGGAAGAATGGTAATGCACATTGATCGGAAGCATATCAGATTACTGGATGATTGTTTGGAGTGTATCCGTTGTTTGTGAATTGTGTATTTGCGTTGGTTTGCTGTTTTTATTATTTTTAGAGCAATGTTGTATTGAGGGAAGTTCTTAATTTATTGGGTCATTGTGTTAGTGCTGGTAACCATCATTTTTATTTTGAAAATTTGTTGTTCTTGAGCTTGATGTCATGCTATTGCTGTACTCAAAAAGTTTAATATGATGCTAGGGATGATAACTTAATTTGCTTCGACGTCTTATTGTTGTAGATACTGAGAAATTCTATACAGAAGTTCAAGAACAAATACTAGCTAGGTACAATAAGACGTTTGATTGGTCTCTAAAGGCAAAAATGATGGGGATGAAAGCAATAGAAGCTGCTAGGGTCTTTGTTGAATCGACTGGAATAAGCGACTCTCTTTCAGCTGAGGACTTCCTTGTAGAAAGGGAGTCAATGTTACAGAGCATGTTTCCATCGAGCGAGCTAATGCCAGGTATGCTTCATATATACTTCCTATACGAGCTTTTACTTGCTTGGGTTTTGTCTTTCCTACACTGACCATTCTCTTGTGTCCTCTTTTAAAATTTTCTATGCCCTTTGCACTGTAAAATTCAATTTATACAGCTAGAAACTCCCGCCAAGCCCCTTAGAATGCCAAGGGACTCATCTCACCTCTGGATTAATTAGACACTAGGCAGAAGAGTATTAACCAAGTAAATTATATATAAATATTATATTGCAAATTTGGTTCATGTAGCCGACCCCACTTATGGGATTAAGGCTTTGATTGATTGATTGATATTGCTAATTTGCTTTATTAAGTAAATATTACATATCTGATATCTTAAGTATTTTACTCGAAGGTAAATGAATTTCCATTTACCGTTAATTTTTGAATTTGCATTTTCTTCTTGGATGCTGAGATTATTGGAGCTCTGCCCATTTCCCATTTTTTATACTCTACATCCCTTGAAAAAAAAAAATTATTTTTCCTTCCACCTGAATCAAATACTAAAACTAATTTCTTTCTTTGGTGAACTTAACAACACCTTGAATTGAATCATACTGTCCTGATTCTCTCTCCTATTTCTGTTTCATCTCTTACTTCTCTTGTTTCTCTTATCATCTTCACAACCTTACCTATTGATGTCATTTTTCTGATACAGGGGCTGAAAGATTGGTCAAACATTTGCATGCACAACAAGTGCCAATCTGCGTAGCTACTGGGTAAACTTCTCTCCACCCTATTGTTTTGCGCTTAGTGGTGGAAACTATTCTTGCTTATTTGTCTACTAGTGAGATAATAAATATGTTTTTGGGAAAAACATTTATTACGTAGGATAGTGTATTTTAAATTTGAGCTGCATGTCTGTCTATAACTACAAGTTTTGCAACTTCCTTCTATGCCTATATCATAACTATGACCATTGCTGCTATTGCTACCACTTCTTATCACAACTATGACCATTTCTGCTATTGCTACCACTTTTTATGTGTTGCTCTACTACTACTATCACAGTACTGACAAATTCATTCTAGAAAATGTTTGTTTTGGGTCTTTTGGAAATGGCTTCTCTTTATGTCATAACTGGTAGGGATAATGCTACTTACATTTGGACTTGCCCAGACCTTACCCATGACAGGGCTCATGCTGTATCTTGTTGATATTGTATAATTAGCTGCACGCTCTATGTTTTAGAAAGAGGGGAAGAATTTAAGATTTCAAATTGTATGATCTATTTGTCCTAGTGATTGAATAAATCCAGCATTTGAATACTTAGACTTGTCCAGAACTTCTAATGGACTTTGAATGCCAAGTGTCATGACAGCTATGGGGGCAAGCATTTAAGTTAGATCTTCATGGTTTCAGTGTTTGAAAAGCGCAAGGCACGTGGGGGTAAGTGCTTAACTTGGTCTAGGCGAGGCATTTGTGGTTAGGCGCGTCTAAAGCAAACTTCAGCCAATTTTTTTAATTGTTCTTATAGAGCGCCTCAATTTAAAGAGTGAGTATATTGTAATGCTTTTTTCAGTCCTCTTTTAGATATTTAGATCACGATGCCAACCTAATGCATGAGGTACCTGTCTTTTTTAGTGTTTGGGGAGGATCTGATTTGTGTGGTTTCAACGATAAGGACATTTAGAGGCTGTTTCTAATTTAACTGATGGGGTTCAGTTGAGACAGAGGAGCATGTTAATTTGCCCATACTTGCTTCTTAACCAGTTGAGGTGAGGCTGCATACATTTTGACACTCTAGACCCTGCCAATTGTGGGATTTATATTGGGTGTTTTATTTATTTATTTATTTATTTATTTATTTATTTATTTATTTATTTATTTATTTATTTATTTATTTATTTATTTATTTATTTATTTATTTATTCTGGTTGTCAACTAAATAATGAACCTGGTGCATGTAGCTCTTATGTTACTCGGTTCTTTCACCTATTTTGTCATATATATTCCTGTAGGCTGTAGTACCTGTGTTATACTCGAGTCAACATAAGTGATCCATCAAAAGTAGAAGAAATCCTAGAAAAAATTTGGGATATCTGTGTCAAGACACTTTCTCTTTACAAGCTTAGTTACCCAGGAGTAGTTTTATACATTGAATTATGCAAATCTTATGATGATTATAGTAATTCCTGATTGTTGATGTTTTGAACAATGCTGTAATTGTAGCTCCCACAAACGGCATTATGAGCTGAAAACTCAAAGACATAGAGAACTATTTGCTTTAATGCATCATATTGTTAATGGAGATGATCCAGAAGTTAAACAAGGAAAGCCATCTCCTGATGTATTTTTGGCAGCTGCCAAAAGATTTGAGGTAAATTTATGTTTGAACCTCTTCAGTACTAACATGTCCATTTTCTAAATTGAAAATTAGACAACAAATCACAATATGGCCTCTGAAGCCAGAAGTTTAAATTTTTTATTCTAAAACTTTGCACCATATTAAAAGATACCATGTTATGACTTATGAGCAGGGTGGGCCTATCGATCCAAAAAAGTGCCTTGTATTTGAAGATGCACCATCAGGAGTTCAAGCTGCTAAAAATGCTGGAATGTAAGTATTTCTACCTCTAAATCATATGCCTAATATGTTCAAAGTAGCTAGAGATCATTAAATGTGTTATAGTAAATTGAGATGCATAATTAAAAAATTAATCAGTCTGCGTTGTTTCTCCATGCTAATTCCTAGAGTGATGACAGGTGCTTGTGTTACGAATTAATCATAATGAATTTCATGCACTGTATAATCTTTAGTATCTTGTTCATATGACCTGAAATGGCATGAAACCTTGTCATTTTTGTAATTCTTAGTTTTATTGGCACTGTCGGAGGGAAAATTAAGAACCTGTGAACCGAATGTGATATATTAAATCGTTCTTGTTGTACTTGAATTCTTGTTATTTGGACATATCATCCGGTTCCAAGATATTTTTATTCGATACACGTAAATATATAATCTTGTATAACTTCACATGTTTAATACAAGCTTTTGACTGGCATGTAGATCTGTGATCATGGTTCCTGATCCAAGGTTGGACAGCTCCTATCACTCTGTTGCTGATCAAGTTCTGAAATCACTAATGGATTTCAATCCTGCTGAGTGGGGCTTACCTCCTTTCGAAAATGCAGCTTGCTGACCTTTCCCAGTAGCCCATCTTTGCATAAGCTGCCGAGAATTTCTCGAGTAATACGGAATTACGGAGCACTTCAGTATGTTGTTGCTGTGATTGACCCTATTATTGATTCATTTACTTTCATGTTTTGCAAGCGGAAACAAACATATAGTATTAAACATAATTTTAATTTTAAACATTAGCAATAGCAATCAATACATGATTTTGTTACGCACTTATAAATTAATATTCCCTTGGTCTCTGATTGGATGGAAACCTCGTACTAAAGTATTTCTTAAATTGTTTCAAAAAAAAAAAGTATTTCTTAAATTTTTAATTTGGGTGAAAATTATCATCCACTATCCTTTTGTTTTTCGTTTTCAATCAACCAATCCTGCTTAAAATTCTCTATAATAATATTACTTTCCTTCATGGTTCAATTTTAATCAACAACACCCTACTATAATTCCTCCAAGAAATATATGCCCAAGAGAATTAGATTTTTATTTTGAACCAATGAGTAATTTAGAAAACGAGTACTAGTGTACTACGGAGTGTTATAGAAAGTGTATTTAATACTTCGTACGTTTTATGAGGTGATTAGTGAAGGTAGATGACCTTGTTTTCAAAATAATTATAACACTAAGATTAGAGAAGGATTAGGTATCATGTGTAAAATTATTTTGATTAATTTAGTCGTCAACATTATATAACTTCGAACTCAAAGTGTGCCACAAGGCTATGTTGGAAGTATTATACTTCGTATCATAGTAGCTGAATAAAGAACATGGGTTTTCTCGTCACCTGATGTATGGTGTATTTGTTTGAAGTATATAATATTTATTTCAACTTTAAGAATTTTATGAGATTTGAAAACTTGAAATTACAGTCCAACTAGGTACCTGTCAAAAAACTAGGTATATATCATAAAATTCAAGATATTGATAAGTATGAAACTATGATCGACTGAGGAAGGATATACAGAAACTTATATCAGAATACATTACCAGATACATTACAAGACAATATTTTTTGTAAATACACATCCAAGGTACAATCTACACAAGCACACATTTGTATGCTTTCTATTCGACATTCTCGCAGATTTCTTTCTATAGGGAACTAAAAACACACCCTACAGGCTGCATCAGGCAGACTGAATAATATTACAATCCCACAGAAATGGCTAGCTTGGACTTATAAAACGAATCCAATAGCAGCCACATTTGATATTTCCTTTACAAGTGATTAAAATACACACTTACAAGCATATAGAAGTACTGTACAAGCCATATATTGCCAGGAAGACACTTAAAATCATCTCCTGGCAGTGGCTAAAGATTTTTCTTCACTCTCTTGAGAAGATTTTAGGGTTGAAGGTGAGCTAAGAGGATTCTTGTTGGAGGAAGAGAGAGATTCTTTGGCTGCAGCATGTGTGTCAACATTGGCCGAAACTTCTTGGAGATCAGGTACAGTTTCCAATTCCGCGGGTTTAGGTGTGTAGGTGAATGAAAGGTCTTTGTTGGCAGCAAGAGCAAGGAGCTCTTTCTCCTCAAGCCCCTTTGTTGGTCCAATGCTGCACCTATCGGTTCCATGCTTAGCTAAAGCATCCTTGAATTTCTTAATCTGTGGTTAAAATAGAACGTAAATAAATTGAATAATTTAATAATCAGGTTTCAAATTACCAGTTTCAAAATTTTTGTCTAATCAATTGTGTAGCTTTGCAATGATTTAAATGGAGTGCATTGCTTGTCAAACAACCCCTAAACCCATCAAGAAGAGAAGTGTGAGGATCATAAACTAACCGTGGCATTTGTACAACTGAAGCTGCACAGGCGACCTTCAGATCCTCTGTAGAACCGAAAGAAAGGAAGAACATGGACATTAAGGCTATAACACATTGATTTATGCTCCTCGTAGTTCACCTGAAGAAATTGAATATCAGGGTTCATCTCTGCCAGCTGACATAGCTGCAAAAATCCAACACAAATAATTAGTTATATATGAAAAATATCACTCAGCTAAAATATACTCCGTAACAGCATAACTAGATCTCCACCCTAAAATTATACAGTACTCGTACAATACATGAAACCCAAAAGAGGCAAATAGGAGCAGAAAACTCCATAAGATCTATTTAAAGAGGTACCTTAGGATGAAGAGCCCTGCAACCTCCACAACCAGGAGAGAAAAAATCAACGATAACCAACTTATCTCCGGCCTTTAATAAAGAATCGACTAGGTCTTCTGCAGAAGTAACCTCTCTCATATTTGGTTGAAGTCCTTTCTCCCACCACTTTGGTGCATTGTTAAAGGTAAGACCCAGCTGCATTTGTTACAAACAAACGAATAAATACCACTATAACTGTGAAGTTGTTAACTGAAAACAGGGGTTCAACCTTTCCAAGTAAGCATAGAGATATCTAAGCATGTGATAGCAAGCTACACTTAACAAACTACACAAAGAACAAAGGAAATTCTTTCTAAAGAACCTAAGAAACACCAATTCCATATAATGTATTCACAGTTCATCACTCGTTTAAATCTCCCCTGCAAAGTTAGAAGTTGCGTTTTCAACAATTTATAAAACCCTTAAGTCATATTGTCATAAAACTAAATCGAAACTTGAGGCCTAATGGCACACAATTCACAAAATTAGACCTCCCTAAACCCCACCTAATGACGAAATTCATAAAACTCGACCACCCTAAAGTCCTAAACCCCACCTATTGTCGAAATTCATAAATATCCACCTTCCCAATACCCCCTGCCTGATGATCTAAAACATACGACTACACCTCCCAGACACCCTTGCCTAATGGTCTATGCAACTCTGACCTTTAAACGCCGCCTAACAGCCAAAAACATACAAATCAAGTAATCAACCTCCCCAAGACCAAGCTTGATGGCAGAATTATACAACTTGTTATATACCTCCACTTATTATTGGCAGGATTTGTTAACTATATTGACTGATGGTAAGCATTTCAAAACACTATCTCATTAAACAAATGAACACAATTTTAATCAAGGTAATCAGATACCAAAACAAACTCTTTCAAAAGGTTGGATCCAAACTTGACCTTGTAACCTGTTATAACAAACATTATTAGTTGAAATTAATACCAGCTCCTCACACCAGGCAATAATCAAGAACACCAAAATTAGATTCACAAAACTACCAACATTTCAACAAACATAGATTTACCTATACTATTTGAAGCATAAATTAAGCAATAATATGATCAAATCAATAGGATTCAAATACAGAGAAAAAAAAACTAAACATGGTATAACAAATTCGATAAGAAAAAGTAAACATGGGTATAAATAAATAGATAAAAACAAAGAAAACCCAGAAATAATTTCACAAACCTTAGCATGAATTGATAGAGAATTCCTCGATTTTTGGGAACAAAAACTGCGATTTTGATCGACCGCAGTTCTTACACCACCAAAACTACTCCTCAAAGATGAAAATCCAGCTAATTTGCCCTGATTTTTCGTGGTAACTGAACATTGAACAGGAAATTTTTTAACATTACTATGATGATTATGATGAGAAATTGCTGGAGAAAAAACGCTTGACTTGCTAATAACATCAGCCATAGAAAAACCCAGAAGAAAAAAACCCTAAAAATTGGATGAAGTAATTGGGATTATTTGCGAAATTCGTGAAAAGGGTTTCGAATTGCGTGGAAGAAAAGAAAAGGGTAGAAGTCAGATTTAGGAATGAACAGGTAAAAGTCTCAAATTTTCCGGTTGAAAAATGAAAATTTGCAAAAAATAGGGTTTACGTAAGAAGTTTTGAAGTCTTTATTTACTTTAATATTTTCTTTTTCTGTTTTTTGTTTTTTGTTTTTGGATGAGAGAGAGAGAGAAAGAGTACAGTTAGCTTCTAGAAAGTGTAAAGGATGATGACCGTTGGAATGTGTGAATGGATGAGGTTCATAAAATTTTATCCAAAGACACTTGTCGTATGATCCATGATTGAGATTTATTTAGATTGTGATGTGTATGTCGACTATGTATATGTCGACCATGGATATTTAGTTATGTACTACTCCGTATCTTCCTCTTTTAAAGATTATGGAGTTCTACATTGTAGGATAAAAAAAATAAGGAAAATCATCCATTTTTTTACAAGAAGGGAAATCATCATTAGTATACATTTGGTATTGACTTTTCTCATTAATACACTTTTGACTTTTTGCTTCTTCACCGATATATTTGTGGTTTAGTTTTTTTTTTTTTTTTTTTTTTTTTTCCAGCTGTGACCAACACCGTTAATAACTAGCAAATTAAGTTGACTAATTAAAAACACGAATGTGTATATTTAAGTTCATTACAATTCAAAAGTGCGTGCCTAAAAATTACATCCTCCATTTTTATTAGCCATTGAATCTTGCTGCAACTCAAGATTATATAATATAATACAATAAATTGATCCAAATAACTTTTATATGTGATACCTAACTCTTCTATGATTGTGCGTGGTTTTAAAATTATTTTGATAAAATCATTTATTTACTTTCATTAATCACCTTCTAAAATTACGCCTCTAAAGAATGTGTTGTTAGTAAAAGAAGAGGAAAGAAGCATGTTGCAAGTAAATAAAAATAAGCAAATATTAGATTATTACTCAGTTCTTGGAAAAAAAATTTATTAGATTTGTTTTAAGTATAATTTCAAATTTCTAAATTTTCAATAATATGCATGTATACATAATTGTAAATGTTAATAATAATAATCAAAGTATGTGTAATGATGACCATGTAAAAAAATAAAAATTAGGAACGCATCAAAGTATATACTAGTATATGTATTTATTCCCCCCCCCCCCACACACACACAAAAAAAAAAAAAAAAAAGAAAAAAAAGAAGTATATACAAGTATATTGATTAAAAATACACAAAGTCTTATGTGTGGCTAGCCACTGTAGGGGTTACTTTTCTAGTGTAATGTGGGTTACTTGGTCAGTATTAAAGGGGTTACTTTGTCCTTGTTATAGAGTTACTCAATCAGTGTTATAGGGGTTACTTTGCTAGTGTAACGGGGGTTACTTGGTCAGTATTAAAAGGGTTACTTCGTCCTTGTTGTAGAGTTACTCATTCAGTGTTATAGGGGTTACTTTGCTAGTGTAATGGGGGTTACTTGGTCAGTATTAAAGGGGTTAATTCGTCATTGTTATAGAGTTACTCAGTCACTGTTATAGGGGTTACTCGATTGGTATTAAATTATAGGGGTTACTTAATCAATGTTATAGGGATACTTAAGTGGCCGTGTGGCCGGCCGCACATAAGACAGACGGGCTGTTAAAAATATATAATAAATGAATTAAAATGTGTGATTGCATGACAAGATGAATTCATGAGGTTTTGTATGAAGACACCCGTCCAATGTTCGTTACGAGAGTTTTGTAATCTTTTGAAATTTTAGATATTTTTCAAGATTCTAAAGGTGGATAAGAGAGTACTCCATAGTCCATATATCTTGTATTCGATGGTTTTATTATTATATGTGTCTCAAAAAAGATTTGAAAAAGGTGCATGCAAACAAATTACAAAAAATTCTAAATGTGGATGAAATCATATTGCCCTTAGGATTGATGTTGTGGCTATTAGACGAATACAAGAGGTCCGGTCCGTTACTTGACAATTGAAATTTTGCATGCAATTTTAAACTTACCTATAAATTATACAAGCCATGCCCATAATTCATCATCCCATAATTCCATATACAAAAAGCCTAATAAGAAAATTAAATTTTCCCAAAGCATGGGGGAAACAAAACCAACACTTATGTTTTTTATCTGCATGTTTTGCATGGTGATCTCATTGCCACCCATATGCACTTCACAATTGTCTAATCCAAGCTTTAATTCTCAATCGCCTATGGTGCCTTCCACAATAATGCCACCAGCCACACCTCATCCTCCAAGCATACTAAGAACTCTTGGCACACCAGGAAAAGATGGAGCTCCAGGAGTTGATGGTACACCAGGAAAAGATGGTGTACCAGGACAACGTGGTACACCGGGAACTCGGGGCACTTTTGGAAAACGTGGCACACCTGGAACTTCGGGTGGTACCCCAGGTACTCCTGGAACACCAGGAACACCTGGAACCCCGGGAACTCCTGGCACACCACGACGGACTCATATCACACCACGACCTCCTATTATACCAAAAACTCGCGGCTCTCATGGGACACCAGGAAAAGATGGTGCTCCAGGAATAGATGGCACACTAGGAAAAGATGGTGCACCAGGAGAACGTGGCACACCTGGAACTCGTGGCACTTTTGGACAACGTGGTACACCGGGAATTTTAGGTGGCACAACAGGAACTCCAGGGACACCTGGAACTCCTGGAACACCGGGAACTCCTGGTACTCCAAGACCCCGTGGAACATCACAAGATTATGTCCCTCTAATCACTCAACAAACCATAAGCATTAATGGAGCTCCAGGCACACCTGGAACGCCAGGAATTCCTGGCACACCGGGGGTACCTGGAACACCAGGACGTGGTCCTTGTGGTACACCAGGAACTCCTGGTACACCAGCAACTCCTAGCACCCCTGGAACACCGGGAACTCCCGGATCTCCAACCACTCCAGGCACACCGGGTACACCAGGAGCTCCTGGTACACTGGGTGCTTCTGGCACACCAGGAGTACCGGGTCCTCCTCGCTAAAGGTAAAATTAAACATGTAATCATAGAGAACAAGGTTATGCTTCTATTTAAATATATAAGTGGCAAAGGTGATGTGTCTCCTCCTCGAAAAGGTGGAAGGGCTCTATCGAGAAGAGGTGACAAAGGATTCATCAAATCAATCTACCAAGTTGGGGCCGTGAATAACTTCATCACTTATCAACTCCACAAACTAGGGTTATGTTTTAATAATGTGCTAGATTTCTAGGAGGTTTGGTGCACGTTGCTTGGGTTAGGCAATCAAATAAAGAATGGTTATGCTTCAATGTGCTAGATTGCTAGGAAGTTTTTGCGCATGTTGTTTATTGGGTTAGGCGATCAAATAAAAAAATAAGTAACAATCATTATTTAAGGCTTTATAAACGGTCTGTTTTATGTCTATGCAAAGATTGCACATTGATAAGGCTTCTGTATGTATTTTTGTGTTGTATTACCAAATAAACGGTTTGTTTTATGTTTAATTTCTATGTTTTTTGAGGTTGCTATTTGTGTTACTTCGATATGACTGTTAGTAGTCATTTAAATTAGGTGACATCAGGACAAAAAATAACTTTTAATATCAGTCTAAATCTGATATGTCATTATAATATTGGTCTCACTATTAAAGTAGAACGTGTCTTATAATAGCGGTTCACATAATCACTATTAAATTGAAACATGTTTTATAATAGTAGTCTAACATCCATGATTTGCATAGTTTGATTAATCTTTAACCGAGGATAATATTTAATATTAAAGATCTCATGTCCATTTGAATAAAAAAGAAACTGCGGAGGCATATGAATAGATCGATCAATCATACGATAATGACTTGGATCATCCTTAAAATTGAATCCACAAAGAATAGGGCAAAATCGTTAAAATTGTATAGGAGATTTATTAATTAGAGAAGTGACAAGAAATGGAGATGATAATCACGATGGTTAGCTCGATGAATTTCAGTGTAGGTTTCATATCTTTTCATTTCCATTTCCGTTTAATTTTAGTACTTTTGAAATCTTTTTTTAAAAAATTGCAAGATCTCAGCTTCATTCTGTTTAGTGTCATCCCCTCCTTTTCTCATAATCCATTAACATCAATTTAAAATTACCACCACAAGGCCATAGTGAGATTTAAAAACACTTTTTAAGGTGATTTTTGTAAAGTACTAAATAAATCAATATATATAGCTAGTCACATGATGTGACCATTTTACGTATAAACAATAAATTAATGGAGGTTATAGTGATGATCAAAGGAAGTTACCTTGACAGATAAGGGGTTACCACAATGATGACATGACAATAATAATTAAATATTCTAATTGGTCATCAATCCCATTATTTAGTAGATTGATGACATGACACTTGATTGATATTCCTCATGTTAAACAAGTACTTTAAAATTGTAAATTGATGCTTTCCAAAGAAAAAAAATTAGAACATTTAGGGGTCGTTTGGTTCACCCGGGGTAAACGGAATGGAATGAAAATACCTTATACTCTCTATGTTGTTTGTTTTAAAAACAAAGGGAAACAATCCCATCAGCCCACCACCACACAACCACCTAATTCATTCACTTTCCACCTTTTCTAGCCACCATCCGACCACCAAACCACCAGCCACACCTTCGGCGCCCTTTGGCCCACATTCGCCTCCCTTCGCCGCCGCCATTAGCCGGCCTTTGCGCAGCTCTCCCTTCCCCGAAAATCAGCCTCGAAAACCCTAGAAACATCCCTCCCCCGAAAAATATCCTTCACTCCCTGAAAAATCCACCGTCCGACCCTCCCCACCCTCGAAACCCTAAGAGCTAGGGTTTCGAGGGTGGGGGAGGGCTGGACGGTCGTTTTACATTGAGGGAGAAGGTTTTTTTTTATGGTTTTTACGGGGATGAGAAGAGTTGCGAAGGGAAGGGGTGGCGAGGGGAAGGGGGCGCGACGAGGGGTGGCTGGTCGTGGTGTGGTGGTGCGGGTTTCCGATTATTTGGGTAGGTAGGATGGTGGTGGTATGGTGGTGGCCAAGGAATGGGAATGAAAAAGTCTGGGGGGGGAATAAACTTAGAGGGATTTTGGGCGATGGGAAGGTAAAGGGAATGAGAAATTTAGTCTAACAAACAACAACATAGGGAATGGGGGCAATTGATTTTCATTCCCTATAATGATTAACCCCAACCAAACGGCCCCTTAATAAGATAGAACTAATTAAAGCAGTTTTTGTACATAAATGTAAGATTCCAAATATTATTCATTCTCTTATTTTTTGTGATTGATTCTATATTATGGGACTATTAAAGTGAAACGGAAGAGTATTAGATTTCAAATATTCTTCTTTTCTTATTTTATGTGACTGATTCCATATGAGACTAACATTATAAAATGGTGGGAGTAGCAAACTGGTGCAATGCTTGGGCCACACACTAATTTTTAAATTAACTAATGTTACTCGTATAATAAATTGGGGTTACTCTTGTGGGAAAATTAAGGTTACCTACATGAATAATTGAGGTTACTTATATTATCAAGTAGCTAGTGATTATTCTTATAAACAAATGTGATCATAATATGTGGCTAACTTAATTTTAAATAATTATCATGTATTATAAGAACAGAAATAAATAAAATTTAATTGATATTTAAAAACAAAAAATAGTGAAACAGCCGAAATGATTGAGTAGCAATCAATTTAAGTGATTAGGTGGTACCAAATCTAAATAAAATGTAAGATTGCAATAATTTAAATTGTAAGCTTGGGATCAACAATTCAACATAGAAGAGAGAGATACTGAGTAAATAAAAATAGCTAATACCGCTATATATTTATTCACAAAGTTTTATATGTTGCTGGCCGCACCGTACGACCAGCCACAATTATTTATTTATTTTTATTTTTTTCTCTCTCTCCTCTCTTCTCTCTCCTCTCCTCCATTGAAGCACCGACTTCATGCTCCAACCCAGATTTTCGTCGACTTCCTTCTCGTATCCGGCGAAGAGCTTCACTCAGATCGTCATTGCCTTCGGATCTATCATTTGGTGGTGGTTTCGTGGGTGGGTAGTGGTAAATTCGTGGTTCGGTGAGGGTTCGGATGGGTATTGGGTGTGGGTTGTTCGTGGGTGGGTTTGGTGGTGGTTCGTTTCTGGTAGAAGTGGTTTGGTGGTGGTTTCGTGGGTGGGTGTGGTAAATTCGTGGGTGGGTAGTGGTGGTGGTTCATTTTTGGGTAGAAATGGTTTGGTGGTAGTTTCGTGGGTGGTTAGTGGTGGTTTCGTGGGTGGTTAGTGGTGGTTTCGTGGTTCTGAGTTCTAGATCTGTTTTGTTGGTGGTTAGGTTTGTAGTTTTTCGTTGGTGGTGGTTGTTGGCGGCGTGGGGCAGTGGGTACGGGAGGTGGTGTAGGTTAGTTGGGGGTTACTAGGTTGGGGTTACTAGGTCGGGGGTTACTTGGTTGGTTAGGGGTTACTAGGGGGGTTACTAGGTCCGGTCAGGGGTTACTTAAGGGGTTACTTGGTCCGGTTAGGGATTACTTTGGGGGTTACTTGGTCCGGTAAGGGGTTACTTAAAGGGTTACTTGGTCCGATCAGGGGTTACTTGAGGGGTTACTTAAGTGAGGTTACTTTGGGGGTTACTTGAGGGGTTACTTTAGGGGTTACAAATAGGGCACTCTGTTGCACCGTGCGGCCAGCCGCACCAGAAACGCACTGATATTTATTTTATCCGGTTTGCTTATTGCCGTATATTTCCATCCAAGGTTTTTTTTTTGACAAAGAATTTCCATCCAAGGTTGTAATTGAAATATTTTAAGTCACATATTACAAAACAAATTTCAAGAAATTACAGTATACTTAAAAAATTAAATAAAATATTAAAAGATCCCTTATGAGTTATGACTGATAAGGATGAGCAAATCCTTACTTCTGTCCCGCAAGGTATAAGATATACAAGTATTAGCTTAGGTGGATTTAATTAAAATTTAATTTTTTTTGTATCAATAAAGTTCCTAATTTAAAAAAAAAAACTAAAATTCTAGCCTCCTCTCTCTTCTCTCTTCTCTCTCCTAAACTCTAGCCTCCATTATCAATTTTGAAGGGGCTTTCATCGGATTTTACCGGTGGAAAGCCTCAATCTTTATTTCCCTCGAAAGAAAGGGTCTATCTCTTTCGAAAGACAAGGTTTTTTCGATCTCCTTCGAAAGACAAGGTTTTTTCGATCTCCTTCGAAAGACAAGGTTTTTTCGATCTCCTTCGAAAGACAAGGTTTTTCGGACTCCTTCGAAAGAAAATATTTTATTTGTGTTTAATTTGGTCTCCGGTTGTGCGGGGCTACGATTGATTATGGCTCGATTTCGGGTTACGGAATCAGCACAAGAATTAACTTTCTCACAAAATTGCGAAGCGACGACGGATCCACTCAAAAAGTTGTATGAGACAACGAATCGAGAATGTGCCGAATTGTTATATTTGTGTATTTGGATTCTTAGCCCTTCCCCGATTAATTCTTGTTTGATTTTGTTAAATTCGTTTTCATTATTGTTAATTGTCAATTGTAGATGTCGTATGACTTTATTTAATGAAATTTAAAGTCCTTTAGGACTTCTTTCAAAAAAAAAATAATAAAGTTCCTAATTCCTTTTAAAGAAAGGAAAATTTGTAAATTGCAGCTATTTAAAGTTCGTATTATGCAAATTGCAGCAATTTAAAAAAAAAAAATTGCAAGTTGCAGCCCATAAATTGTAAATTGCAGCCTAATTTAACTTTTTCATTAGTTTGTATGTCGAAAAATCTTCGATTAAGGTCCATTTTAGTCCTTAGGGGTCCGAATTGAGCTCGGAATTAGCAAACATATAACGTAATAAGTGTCTCATTTTTACAGTTTCCCACAAAATCGATACATTTTTTTTACGCAAAACGAGACACTTACGTTTTTTTTTGCTAATTCCGAGCTCAATTCGGATCCTTAAGAACTAAAATGGCCCCTAAAACTTTAACCGAAGATTTTTCAACATGCAAACCGATGAAAAATTTGTATCGGGCTACAATTTACAATTTATACGAACTTTTGGGCTGCAAATTGCAATTTTTTTTAAATAGCTGCAATTTACAAAATACGAACTTTAAATGGCTGCAACTTGCAAATTTTCCAAAGAGTATTGTTAAAGAATTAGATTTTATTTTCCTTGGAATGTTTCATGCAAAATTTCAAATAGAACAAACAAAATAAAGAAAATGGAAAAAATAGAATGATTGTAAAATATGAGTCACTTAAAAAAAAAAAAAAAAAAAAAAACTTTTGAAAAGTGTATCATTTGAAAAAATGACTACTAAAATGTATATGTGATCAGATAAGATGAACCATATCGTTTAATATAAAGACATCCGTTCAATTTATGTGATGAGAGTTTTGTCTATTGTTACAGGAATTGAGATATTTATCAATATTTATTAATTTGGTGGATGGGAGATTTTTTTTTTTTTTTTCTTTTGTTGGCTTTATCTTTTTATGTGTTTCTAAATAGATTTGAAAAAGATGCATGCATACAAAAATTTCCAAATGTGGATGATATCATACTACCCTATATTAGATATTATGGCAATTGGACTAACACACAAGGAGTCCAATAGTTGAACTTAATTAGAAATTTTGCATGCAACTTTTGAGCTTATTGTCATAAGGTTGCACAAATCATTTATCTATAAATTACCCAAGCCATGTACCATATTTCATCATCCCATAAAATAGAAGCCTCCCCAATAATCATGGGGGTAACAAGACCAACAACTATGTTTTTATCTACATGTTTTGCATGGTGACCTCATTGCCATTGATATATACTTCAAAATTATCTCCTCAATTAAGCTCCAATCCTCAGTCACCACTTATGGTGCCTTCTACAATTATGCCACCAACCATTGATCCAATTCTCCCGAAAATCACACCTCATCCACCAACCATTTTAAGAGCTCTAGATCACACACCCAAAAAAGATGGTGCTCTAGGAGTTGATGGCACACTAGGAACAGAAGGTGCACATGGTACATCGAAAACTCCTAACACACCACGACATCATATCACACCACAACAAACTAATACTACACCACAGCGAACTCATATCACACCACAACCTCCTGTCATACCAAGAACTCGTGGCAATTTTGGCACAACAAGAAAAGATGGTGCTTTAGGAGTTGATGACATATTGGGAAAAGATGGTGCATCAAGACAACATGGAACACAAGGAACTCATGGCACTTTTGAAAAACATGGTACACAGGAAATTTCTGGTGGCCCATTTAGAACTCCCAATATTCCAAGACCTCGTAAAATATCTAAACATTCGATCACTCTTGTTAAACCACAACCTATAATTATTGCAGGGGAATCTGGCACACCAGGAACTCCAGGTATACCTGGCATTCCGGGAGTTCCTGGCACACCCGGTCGTGGTCCTGGTGGCACACCAGGAACACCTGGTACACCAGCAACTCTTGAAACCCCTGGAACACCAGGAACTCCTGGCACGCCAAGTACACCAGGAACTCCTGGTACACCGGGTACTCTTGGCACACCTGGAACTCCTGGTAGAGACTGAGGTGGACTACAAAATCACAAAGGAAAAAGGCTATGCTTCTCCCAAAATAGGTGATAAGTGAAGTCTCCTCCTAAAATGGTGGAAATGATTTAATTCACCACGTAGGGGTGTTGCGTGGCAGTGATTGCAATGTCCCGATAGTAGCTCCATCATTTTTTAGTCCACAAATTAGGGCTATACTTTGATGTCCTAAGGGGTTTAGTGCGCAAGCTCATCTGCTAACACTCATTGTCTTGGCAATTTGTGTATTTTCTATAGTTTTATCGTTTAACTAATTAAATAGGAGAGTGTGTAAGGATATTGTATGTTTTATTTCTATGTTATTAAGTTTATTGTTGTTGTTACTTAGATAGTTAGATTATAGTTGCTAGTAGCAGCTTAAGTTAGTTGATTTTTGTTTTCATCACATAAAGAGCATGCCAAAATTAGAAAATTAGCCACCCTTCGTTTTTATCCTCAAATGTAAAATTGAATTAAACTATGTTCCCTCTATATTGTTTCCAACTTATATACTACCTCCGTTAACATTTACTTGCAACTTTGGGGTATTATTTGAAAGACATAAAATATTCCAAAGTTGTAAGAAAATGTTAACAGAGGTAGTATTATTCAAGCAATGAACACAAACCTCAATCTATTTCCTTCTCAATGATGCCACTGCACGTCATACTCACTGAAAAGACATTCAAGTTTATTACATGTTCAATCATGCATGTATAATTCAAGCAAGAATATAAAAAAGGAAATATTTAATCAATTAACCTTTAATTAATATCAATCAAGCAAGAAAAAGATATTTTAGCCTATTAGAAGATCGGAAAAAAAAAAAACGGTGTCAATATATATAGATTTTTTTTTTTTTTTGATAAAATATATATAGATTTATTACCCCTTTATAATATATTTGTTTCTCTAACTTACACCAAGATGCATGGTACTCGACCAATTAATAAAGACTTTTAGTCACTCGTTTATATCATTATATGTGTTCGTTTTATAAGTTGAATAAGCTCTAAAATTGTACTCGTATAATTAAAACAAACAATAACCACTATCTATTTTGATTAAGTTGCTTTACATGTAATTAAATAGGGTGAGATTAATTAAAGTACTGTTAGTTGAGATGAACTCTACAAGAGGGGGGGGGGTGAATTGTAGATGAGTTCCTAATGACTACTTTTGCAAATATAAAACATAATAAAATAGGAACTTGCAAAGCACACAACATTTTACGAGGAAACCTTCTAGTGCCCAACTAGAAGTAAAACCTCGACCCTGCCTTAGGGATTTCAAACACAAACACTTCCACTATAATAGGGCAAACACCAAGTTACAACCTATTATAATTAAGTCTCTACTCACAAGTTCCTAACTGAACTTGCTACAGAACATGACACTGTTCTACCCAGTCTAAGTCCCACACTCAGACTCTCTCGTACTCCCTAAGTACAGATATTTCCCCTTCTCACCAGAAGCTCTCTCTGTATGCAATGATAATAAAAATACTCTCACCCAAATAATCCCAAACCAAATACAAGTATTAACACCTAGTATATGATAGGCAAGCTATGCATGAAACCTGAAACTAATATGACAAGATTATAAGCTTGGCAAACTTACACAATTAAAGCTCTGTAATTCTTCACGCATAAACTCACAAAAACCTAAACTCCTATTATTCTCTACTATTTATACAAGTATTACTCGTATAGAAAGTAGGTTTTCATAAAGATAAATAAGTAAAACTTAACTTATCTTAAAACACGGTTTTTAAGTAAATTCTTTGAAGAAAATCTTTTCAGAAAAATAAGATAGAAATATTAAGTTAAAAGGCATAATATCTTTTTAACAAACTGATTTTAAGAGATAAACATTTAAAGAAAATCTTTTTCGATTTCTATCTTTTATCTTTTCCGATTTTAATTTATTTGCCAAGCTAGCTTGTCACGCTTCTAATAAATTTCATGCATATCCTACTTAACATATTTAACAATGAATCTAGAAGATAAAATCTTAACTAAAATATTGTTGTGCTGCGCTCTTGATCTGGTAGGCTTACTTGGGATCCACGCTTACTAAGTTCCTCCAAAGATCTTAGTCAGCCATCTTCAAGTTCCTGTGAAGGAACGTTCCTGTTAGGGAACTCAGTTCCTGTGAGGGAACTCTTCTTCTATTTTGAATAACTTTCTTGATAAAGAACTCCTTCAAGTCTTCTTAGCTTCAGTTACTTCTTCCATCTCCAAGATCAATTTCACCTAAACTAAACAAACACTCGAAAAGCCTTTATGAGATGAGTTTGCTGTAACTTAAATTCCTCATCATCAAAACCTTTAAACATCAACAAGTACCTTTATTCTTTTTAAATATGTATGGTAACATACGTATTAAGTTTATAAAATTTTCTATTCAATATATATATATATATATATATATATATATATATATATATATATATATATATATATATATATATATATATATAAAATTTTCATTTGTACCAACCCGAGCAAATGCACAGACACAATTCACACAAAATAGATTCTTTTTTCATATTTATTTTTTTTGACAAGTGGAAAAAGGGCATGTACGAAATACACATTAAAATTAATTTCCTAATTTTACTCATTAAAATTGTTCCCCTTGTCAATACATTGAGTTCTGTACAAGAAAATTATAAAAATGATTACAATAACTAAAATGATAAGAAATTAAGTTCGCACCAAAAAAAAAAAAAAAATTGATAAGAAATGGAAAAAAAAAAAAAAAAGAACCATGAATATTTTTTTAAAAGAAATGTTTACTGAAAGTTTAATGAAAAACTAACAATTACGTTACCATCTTATTAAGTTTTATAATTTTATTAGAAATGTTTTTATATTTATTTTAAAATTAATAAATAATTAAACACATAATTATAAATGATCATTGCAAGTTTGCAACTATATTAAATTGGAGAGAAAGTTTAAATTTTTCACCTTGATAAACATAATGTGTTTATTAAGTGATATCAAGTGTTAAAGTGTAAATAAATTAACAACTTTTTATTAAAAATGGGTCCTATAATTAATGATATAACTACATAAATATTATTTTCTCAAAAAACTACATAAATATTATGCTAACTAGTAACTAGATATTGAACTAAAAGATACTTCGTATTTAAATAAGTTGTTTGTGGATTTAACGAGTACTTAGCTTTGGTCGAGTCTGAAAGTTTAGAACTCTTGAGAACAAGGAAGAAATTAAAATTATTTATAAATAAAAAAGTGATGCAGCCGACATGACTGTATAAATGCCTAGATTGAGTACCATTACAATGAAGACGACAAATCCATAATTCATAGGTGTATGTGTATCTACAGCTTGCCGACATGCCTACGTAGTATCTACTCTCTCCGTTTCAAATTATTTACAAAAATTTGACGTAAAATATGAGTAAATAATGTCTACTCATAATTTTTACAAATAATTTGAAATGGAAATAGTATTACAAGTACTGAATTTAAATTGAAAATGTTATTGCGGGATCATAGGAGGATAGATATATACTACGAAGTACTACACTAATTACAATACAATAATACAAGTAATACTTTCTCTGTCATTTTTCCACAACATTTTGACTTTTATAGTACTCGTATTATTTATATACTCCCTCTTTATTTATTTAAGTGCTCCAATTTGACCAGGCGTATATGTTAATGAAATATTTTGACAAATTATGTCTTTAAATGTTAATAAGTATAAGGGCGTGTTCCGATTGACTGAGCTGAGCTGAGCTGAACTGAACTGAACTGAACTGAACTGAACCGAGCTGAACTGAACAGAACTGAACTGAACTTATTAATTAGTGATTTCTAACTACGGATTAGTGATCTTTGATTATTTATTGATTATTTATTACTATACGTATGTGTATATACAAATGTACATATTAATAATAATAATAATAATAATAATGTTATTATTATTATTATTATTAATTTTGATTATTATTATTATTATTTATTGATTATTATTATTATTATTATTATTATTATTATTATTATTATTATTATTATTATTATTTATTGATGATTATTATTATTATTTATTGATGATTATTATTAGTACTACGTATTATTATTTCAATTATTATTGTTATTATTATTATTATTATTATTATTATTTATTGATGATTATTATTATTATTATTATTATTATTATTATTTATTACTTATTGATTATTATTATTGTTGTTGTTGTTGTTGTTGTTGTTGTTGTTGTTGTTGTTGTTGTCGTCGTCGTAATAAGAGCTTAAAAGAATGAAATTTGGCTTTATATCATTAGCAATATCATTAGACGTAAATTAAGAGCTGAACTGAACTGAACTGAGCTGAGCTGAACTGAACTGAACTGAACTGAATTTCAACGGAAGAGAACAGGCCCTAAAATTATAAAATATTGAAAATGAAAAACTATACATTGAGACAATTCCAACAATTACATATACATGACTGTATCATTTCTTTTGTATAATTACTATCTTTGATCAAAGTGAATTTTGTGAATAGTATAATCAGTCAAATATGGACACTTAAATAAAAACGAAAGGAGTACTATAATTTGACTAATTATGGTGATTTATAATTAATGAAAAATATAGTCATGTGGAATTTAAGATATTAATTATCATATAATATCAAATTTTTACGCATGGATTATTTAAGGTACTAATAAAATCAAATTTAAGATACTTCGTATTAATTATAAAATAATTCAAATTTTGCACACTGCTAATTAAAGATATTAAATTAATTATTAATGAAATTCTTAAGTTGGTAATATGGGATCCTTCAAAAAAAAAAGTTGGTAATATGGGAAGTTAAAATCTCATGAATTTTGGTTTACCTAGGAGCTGGTAATTTACTTCTTATCTTTTGTGGAAAATTGAAAATTCCATGAATTCTTATTTTCTTCATTTTTTTTTGTATAATTATTGTCCAACTTATCAATTCCTA